AAACGATCACACAGGGCTGGTACTGTGGTACAATGTGCTAAGTAAGTCACTGTTTGCAATGCCATCATCCAGCGTCCCATATTGGAGTGCCAGTTTGAGTTCCACCTGTTCCACTTTTCATTCAGCTCACTGCTGACGGACCTGGGAAAGCAGTGAAAGATGGGTCCAGGTATTTTTAGGGTTTTGCATCCATGTGGGAGATCTAGAGGAAGCTCCTGGCTCTGGTCTGGCTCAGTCCCAATTGTTATGGCCAGTTGGAAAGGGAACTAGTGGATGGGTCATTTCTTTCTGCCTCTTTTCCTCTCATTCTGCCTTATAAATAAACAAATCTTTTTAAAAATTGATACCATAATTGCATGACAGATTCTATGTGATTGCAGCTAAGTGGTATTCTAAGTGTCTAAGACACGCAGCTATAAAATACCCAGTCTGACAGATTCAAAAGAAAACTACTTAACCTCAGTTTTATTAGCAGGAAAATCTATATCCAGAATTTTAAAATGGCTGTTGATTAAGGTTCTCTCATTCTCTTCTGGGGTGGTCACAAACCATTCCCTAGCCTCTCCTGGCTCTCTCACTGAACTGTGTGGTTCTCCCCCTCTTCTCTGGCTTCTCCCACACAGTCACCAATAATGTAATTTGCTCTCACTAAACAGGGGATTTTTATCATACTCTCATTCAGAAAGTAGCTGAAGGGAAAGACTTTTACAAAGACCTTTTTCTCTGACATGATCCTTCTAAAACAGAAAAACAAGCCATATCAAGTTTAATGGGGACCAAACACAATATAAATGGTCTCTGTAACAAACAGACTTCAAAAACAACAGAAATAATATTAGATTATTTCCTACTGGCTTCCCTGGGTCTGTGCCAAACATCCCTTGGCTGCCACAGAGGTGGCTTTGGGGTAGAAAGAGAACATGACTACGAGGACCCTACAAGGGTACAGCTGCAATCTGTTCTTGGCAGAAATTCTGGAAAGATGAATCAAACTTTTTTTTTTCCACAATTCTAACTTAATAGGCAGGATCCACTTACAAACTAGGGGGACTTTATAGTATGTCACTAAAGAAATCTAACCTTCTTTGTGTGACCTATTACTCATTGAAAAGAGGCAATGAACCACATGGTTTTGTTCAGATACAAACTGAAGAACAGATTTTAAATCCAGGAAAAAAAATCTATTTTGACAGTGAGGAGAAAAAGAACAAGAAAAGCTTTTTAAAATGAAAACAAAAGAGAAAGAGAAAACCAGTCATTGATAGTTAAAACAAAGACCAAAACCTTCTCTAAAAGCATGACTTAAAAAATGAATACTGAAAGAAAAAAAGAAAAAAAAAAGTTTCCACATGAGACCAAACAGTTCAACAGGTATTTGTTGCTAAGCAAAAGCTATGTGATTCAGTAACATCTTGATATGTTTCATAACCAACCAACCAAGCAAAAAAGTAGTCCTGCAGATCACCTTAGCTTAAGGAATCCAACATGGCAGCTGCTGTCCTCAAATGCAGCTGCCACCAATTTCATCGGCGACAGATTCAAGGTGTGTCACCTTGGGTGCGGCTATTCATTTCACCAAAACTGCACAGAGTGTAAGCATCAGTCTACCTCTACCATCTGCAGACTGTATGCAAACTATGTAACAGTTGTGCCTGTTTCAGAATGGCCTCTTCCATCAAAATGCTTCCTTAGTCACAGCTCTTCACCTCTTGAGCTGCTCCTTCAGCTGGTTAGAAGCTGACTACACTCACTAGAATTGGATTCATGCAGAAAAAAAGCAGATCTCAGGAAAACATGTGCAATACACATCTCAGCATCTGCCCACAGGAAAACCAGGAGGCGGCATGTCACACAGCAAGGAAGATCCAGCTGCACAACATCCGCTCTGAAATCAGTGTTTTAGAGCAACAGGCTGCAACGGCAGTTATTTCATTTGTTCCATAAACATTTATTGAGTATCGGTCTGGCAGGGACTATGCTGAGTGCTGATCATGGAATGACTGGGTGCTCTCGGTCCATACAATTTCTATGGCTGAAAAGTGGCGGTCATCCTGATAGAACCATAAAAGAGACAAGAATGTCATCCTCTCACTTTTCCATACAGGCAGCCATTGTCCCTCCCCACACCGATCATGAAGGAACGGAGGCAGATGGGAAGCAGGAGAAGGAAATGAGAACAGGCACTAGGGGTGAAGCTTAGGCACAGCTCAAACTACACCCAATTCAAACAAAGATGGGCTAAGTAAGGGAAGAGTATCCTGAGTTAAGGTCAAGCCTACTGGCAATACTAATGGAACTCAATTATGAGAAATTGAATAGGATTTTCATGAATTTACAGGGAAGGATAAAGAAACCTCTAAGAGTGACAGAGGAAAGGTCCATGAAAGTGGCTAAAAAACCAGCTGCTGTTTACTTTTATCCATGTCGACAAGGCGGATCATCAAAAACTCAGCACTGCTCAGAACACATCAGAGACAGCCATCAAACAACCAGCAACCACTGAGTGCTTGTCAGACAGGTAGTATGTAACATAATGCTGACAGGATAGAAATAAAAGGGTAAAAATAAATGAATCCTACACCACTGTAGAATTTGCAATGTTATGCAAACTAGAAAGTGTTTTATATAAATGTGTTTTAACAATGTATCCTTGGGCCCGGTGTAGCAGCCTAGTGGCTAAAGTCCTTGTCTTGCAGTCGCTGGGATCCCATATGGTCACTGGTTCTAATCCCGGCAGCCCCGCTTCCCATCCAGCTCCCTGCTGTGGCCTGGGAAAGCAGTCAAGGATGGCCCAAAGCCTTGGGACCCTGCACCTGCGTGGGAGATCTGGAAAAAGTTTCTGGCTCCTGGCTTCGGATTGGCTAAACTCAGGTTGTTGCAGCCATTTGGGGAGTAAACCGGAGGACAGAAGATCTTCCTCTCTGTCTCTCCTCTTCTCTGTATATCTGACTTTCCAATAAAAATGAGTAAATTGTAAAAAAAAAAAAAAAAAAAAAAAAAAAAAAATTCTTACAAAAAAATAATGTATTCTCAATACAGATTAGGAAGTTATGTTCTAGACAGGCTGAGTAACTTGATGAAGAACAGTTACGCATAGTGGCATGATGAGCAGAACTCAGCAGAGGACTGGAACATATGCAACCAGACACCTGTCAAGGCCATCCATGTGTGGTCCCCAAGAAAGCCATAAGGCAGCGTCTACGTTTCCATGTTAGAAAGGAACTGCCTCACAGACTCTGGAAGATCAGAACCACTGCACAGTACTTACTACGCATGAAAACACAGCCAGAGAAAACAAAAAAAGCAGTAGTTACCCCAAGACATACCAGATAAAAATGCCAGTTTTTTTTAGTTGGCTTTAAAAAAATACATTTTTAAAAAAAGATTTATTTATTTTTATTACAAAGTCAGATATACAGAGAGGAGAAGAGACAGAGAGGAAGATCTTCCATCCAATGATTCATTCCCCAAGCGACCGCAATGGCTGGTTCTGCGCCAATCCCAAGCCGGGAACCAGGAACCTCTTCCGGGTTTCCCACAGGGGTGCAGGGTCCCAAAGCTTTGGGCCGTCCTCGACTGCTTTCCCAGGCCACAAGCAGGGAGCTGGATGGGAAGTGGGGCTGCTGGGATTAGAACTGGGGCCCATATGGGATCCCAGGTCTTTCAAGGCAAGGACTTGAGCTGCTAGGCCACGCCACTGGGCCCAAAAAAACACAGTGTTTTACTTTAAATAATTTCGATAAATTGAAACTTTATTTTGAGTACAATTATCATCTCAGAGTAATCCAATAAAAGACTACAGAGATACAACTAAATGAACGGGTATAACCTAAATCAGTGTGGAAATGGAAAAAAAATAAAAGAAAACTAAAGATACAACTTTTAGACTGATGGAATTACGATTCCTTATAAAGGACTATACCATTGCAGTAAAATGGTAACAAATGCAAACAAGAAAACCGCCTGTTTGGGGGTGGGAGCTTGTGGGGGGAAATCCCAGTCTATACGATATTGTACTGCATAATCCAAAAATTCAATATATATATATATATATATAAGATACAGCTTTCTTTATGAACTCAATTATTGACTACCTTACTGATTTCCTAAGGTCCCCAAGAATAACAGTGAGAAAATGTTCTTTGTTGCTACAAAAGAATCTTCAACAAAATGACTTCATATGAAAATATGTGTGTTCCTTCTATTCAACAAGGAGTTAGGAAAATTTTGTGCAGTGTGAAAACTTACTTCTGAAACCTTTCATTAAGTGAACTTTAAGATCAACTGGGCTGACTTAGTTGCGCCTTGCAGGAGCGACTCTTTCCAGCACGCTTACACTGCACCTCTCTGCTCGGCTCTCCTTTCCTTTTGGGAAGATCATATTCCCACCATACACATGGTTACCCTTAAAGTCTTTTCTTTCCTACCCAAATATGCTGTCAAGGCAGACTGGGAGAACCACTTGTTTAAGCAGAAAGGATTCATGACACTCGAAAAGATTTACACACTCCGGTATCCCTTCACTCAGACCTTAAGAGTTTTCATATTCTTCCTCCCCGCTTTTGCCTCGACACACGTCCGATGTCCCCCACCCCTGCACCCTAACGAATATCAAACACTTCAACAAAAGAAAGAGTTCTTAATCTGGTGTCTGGAGAGTCCATGGATACTTTCTTGGGGTCCTTGATCTGTCAGGCATTATATCCTGATTGGGTAAACATGGGTGCATTTATCTTAGAGTTTTCAGGAAGCTCTGGCAGGAGCCAACATTCAAAAACCGCTGAGGCTTGCTAAACTGAAAGAATGGGGTTTCAGGTCTAGACTTCCCAAAGAGAGAACAGGAAGTATTGAAGGGGTGGAAAGGCTTCACCAGGGCCCCCGAGTTATAGCACAGGGGTGGCTGCCTCCAGGAAGCATCACTAGGGGTCCCCTTCCCCTGCAATGGGGACTGCTACAACACCTTAGTAGAGCAACTGATCGCCCATGAAACGAGGACATACCTTTAAAGCTTCTATCACAAGGTCCCTTGCTTCGAGCTCTCCTTCAAGAATACTGAATAGCGTCAGGAGTTCAGGCTTGCTGAGTTTTTCCAGATTCATTCTGTCAGCCTGAAACAAAGACAGTCATCAGATAATCTACAGAAGGCAGGGTTGATCTGATAAAACCAAAGGGAAAAAAAGGAGACTAACAAGAGCAATGATTGCAGTCTGGATTACTGTAAGAGGAGTTATAACACAGTAGCTTTCCATGGTTCATCATAAACTGAACAGTAAGAGAAAATAAAACTCACTTGTGTTACTGACCCCCTCACCACTCAAAAAGCACAACTTTGGTCATCTTCATTTGGGCACATTTACTAATGAACACTCAAGGTCTCTGAAAGAATTGGTCATGCATTTTGTTCACCAGAAGTTCATGTAATAGTGTTACAATGAATACCAACCATTAACTGAAGAATTGTGAGATCATGCAAGATCTCCCAATTTCAGATAAGGAAATTCCGAAGCAGTGTACAAAACATTCTGACATCCCACTTTAATTGGTTAAAATGAAATTGGAAATGCTGTCTGAGATGAAGATTGGTGGGAATAAAGGAGAAAATTTTCTTTTCAATTGTCTATTTTCACAGCAGCAATCACAATATTTGTACTCTGCATAGTAAAACAGATTTGAATACAATAACATACAAGTCTATTCTTACAAAAAACTTCTTAAAATACTTTGTTTAAGCATCTTAATTGGCAAGGCAATTACAAACTGAATTCAACTTCATTCAACTTACATTTCTACCAACCATCTTTTGAAATAGCTGCTAAAGGCAAATTGGCACAAACTCACTCCTTTTTTTGTTTGTTTTTTGTTTTTAAAGATTTATTTATTTATTGGAAAGTCAGATACAGAGAGGAGTAGAGACAGAGAGGAAGATCTTCCATCCGATAACTCACTCCCCAAGTGAGCGCAACGGCCGATGCTATTCCAATCCAAACCAGGATCCATGAACCTCCTCCCAGTATCTCACACGAGTGCAGGGTCCCAAAGCTTTGAGTCATCCTTGATTGCTTTCCCAGGCCACAAGCAGAAAGCCGGATGGGAAGCAGGGCCACCGGGATTAGAACGTGCATCCATATGGGATCTCGGCGCTTTCAAGGCGAGGACCTTAGCTGCTAGGCCACGCTGCCGGGTCCCAAACTCACTCCTTTCTATAGATTAATTTCTCGCAGGCCAAACACACACTCATACCTGCAATAAATCTCAGGGCCTTCAGATCAGTGTGTGGGCACAGACACATTTCACCATCTGCAAAGTAGTGCAACTGCTGTTTCCCCTCACCCACTTTCTACTTCCACATTGCCATTCTCACATAGTTCCCCTGAAATTGAGTGACAACATGACAAGTTCACACACCTTCTGGAACTACTCCTTACCAAGTTGTGGAGGCACACAGAATGCTTTCTGATTCCTTCCAGAGCCACTGCCTTTACATAAAGAGAACATGGACAGAATGCAAGCTTCACTACTTTCACTGTTTCAGAACATGACACACAAGATTTTTTATCACACAGTAAAACAGCCTCAGTGTGACCTAAGTTTTAATAGTTAACTTTGTGAAGTCTCTCAACTAGTAAGTGATTCTCACTTTGGTATTTGAGGCGTGCCTCATAACAATTATTTTTTTTACTTCTTTTTAAAATTATTATCACTTTATGATACAGTCCCATAGGCCTTGGGATTTCCCTTATCCCCTCCCCAATTTCCTTCCCTCCCACTGAATTTCCCTATGTTATTACTGTAGTATAGTTCTTTATACGCAGTCATAGGTCCATCATTGCAGGCATGGACAATGGCAGAGAGTCCAGCATTCTATTGTCAAAATATAGTTAACAATTCTATTGGGAGTCCATCTTTGATCTGGAAGTAGAGATGCATACTGCATTGTATCCTCACATCTGGATATAACAGTCTCCATTACATAGTTACCATACATCCCCTTGAATGAAAAGCCATAAAACAAGATCAATAATAGGAAGAAAAAAGAAATTAGCAGTGCCTTGAAGTTAACATGCTACTGGATGACTGATGTTTCACTGAAGAAATTAAAAAGAAAATCAAGAACTTTCTTGAAGAAAATGATGCTACTGTATGATCTATGAGTCACTGAAAAAAATGAGTTTTTGAAGAGATGAAACAAAAAAAATCAAATCCATGAGATACAGTTTCTGCTGATCTTTGTTAGTGGTATGTGTCTCCTGTAGGCAACAAATAGATGGGTTTTGCTTTTTAATCCAGTCTACTAATCTATGATGTCTGATTGATGTATTTAAGCCACTTACATTCAGGGTTGATACGAATGGGTAGTAATTTGGTTATGTCATTTTAGGATTGGGTTGTTCATTGATTTACTCTTCTGTTGTTACCTTGCTGGAATGTTCTTCACATTCGTCTTTGGTTTTGGTGGGCGCTATTCCTTTTCTCTGTCAAGAGAACATCTTTAGGTTCCTTTGTACGGCAAAGTTGGAGGAGGCATATTCTTTTAATTTTTCTTTACTATGGAAGAATTTTATTTCATTTTTTTTAAAGATTTATTTTTATTATTTTTTTATTGGAAAGGCAGATATACAGAGAGGAGAGACAGAGAGGAAGATCTTCCGTCCGATGATTCACTCCCCAAGTGAGCGCAACGGGCCAATACTATGCCGGTCCGAAGCCAGGAGCCTCTTCCGGGTCTCCCACGCGGGTGCAGGTTCCCAAAGCTTTGGGCCGTCCTCGACTGCTTTCCCGGGCCACAGGCAGGAAGCTGGAAGGGAGGGGGGCTGCCAGGATAGAACCGGCGCCCATATGGGATCCCGGGCGTGCAAGACGAGGACCTTTAACCACTTGCGCCACTGCGCCGGGCCCATTTTATTTCATTTTTAAAGGAAAACTTTGCTGAGTACGTTATCCTGGGTCAACAATTTTTAGCTTTTAGAACCTGGAATGTATCACTCCATTCTGTAGTTTCCCCTGAGAGGTCTCCTGTGAATTTAACTGCCTTTATATGTCAATTGATGTTTTCACATGCACATTTAAGGATCTTTTCTTTATCTTGAAGAGAGCTTGATTATCATGTGCCTTGGTGAAGGTCACTCTTGGTCAACCCTGTTCTGTTCCCCTCCTAAATGCTGTTTCCCAATTCTTTCTCTAGATTAGGGAAGTTTTTCCTTATTATTTCATTGAATACACTTTTAATCCCAGCTTCTCTTTCTGCACCTTCTGGGACTCCCATAACTCTTATATTTGGCCTTTTAATAGTGTCTTTCAATTCCTGAATACTTTTCTTTGAACTCCTGCTTTATGTGTTTCTCATTGTTGATAAGAAGCTTTATAACAGGTGTTGTGAATTCTGTATCCCCCATTTTGACCGTATTCTTCAGTTAACTTTGAGGCTGGCAAAGGCTTTTGCTCCTTTGCAGGACAGTTTTCAGTAATATTCATTGTATCATTATGTCTTCTTTTGCTCTTGGTCACTGTACTTCTTATCAGATTCTTCTCCTTGGGGCAGGTTTCTAAGCTGTGTCACCCACAGGTCTACAATTCTATTTTGCTTATTGTAGTGGTGCACGGCTCTTTGTTAGCAGTCACTTGTGCCACTTCCTCCAATGAGTTCCAGGTCTTGGTTCTTTTGTTAGACATCCACCATGGTCTCTGTAGCCCCAGCTCCTGGCTCACCAGTCTGCTCCTCCTGCGATACCATGCTGAGGCTGTACTGTTGTCTGTATAACCTTTCTCCCACTTCTAATTCAAGTAGTTTCCAGGATTAGGGAGACACCAGAAATCCTATATAACTAGACTGTTGTTGGTGCTGATCTTGTCAGAACCTGTTGGCCATTAGGTCTCAGGGCCACTTAGACCTATTTTGACCCATATGATGCCAAAGTCAGTATTATTTTCCCTGTGGGACCAGTGCAATGCACTGAGCTCAGTGAGTTCACTCCCAGCTCGGTGCATGCACAGCTCATTGTCCCTGCAGTCATACAGCCTTTGCCACACTGTACAAAATGGTGTCTGATGTGCCATTATTAGAGTTCTTGATCTGCTGGACATCAGGTCTGAGGGCTACCTGGACCTATCATCTTGGGTGGAACCTATAGGATGTCACGTTGTTGTACTTCATTGATCCAGAAATGAGTTGACTCCAGCTCACTGCACATGTAGTCCTGCCCTCATAGCCTTTGCCTCCTTAAACAAAATGGCACCGGATTGAGCTCTAGGGGGCTGAAATTCATTCTGTTCCCGCACTGCCTATCTGGGACCTGCTGCTCTGTCTCTGTTCCTGTTCAATTCAAACAGACCAGCAGAACAGGCAGTTCTTTGTCCAGGGTCATCCCCTGAGCTCCTGGTGAACGTTCCTTCACACCTTGTTCTAGTGGAATTCTGGTTGCTGCAGCATTTCACATTGTCACTTGCTGAATGCCACTGGGCATCGGTCACTGCACCACCACACCATCGTTTTTGCTGCTTTCCTGTGTCAGTCTCCAGGGATCCTTCTGCTGTTGTTTTGTCCTATCTTATTTGCTGGAATGTGCCCTCTCTGCTTCACACTAGCTAATGTTTCTCCATCTGTTTAATTGTGTCCTTACTCTATTCTGTCATCTTGATTCCTATAATAACAATTATTTTTTTTAAAGAAAAGCAAATAAAATAAAAATTCCATCAGGCTAATAACGTTACATAGAATGTAAAATGGCCTATTGGAAAGTGCACAAGGCTTTGTGCTAAGTTGTGTGACAGGGCAAGTTTTCTAATTCTCAGTTTTCTTTGCTGTGAGGGGACAATGATGCAATCTCACAGGTTACTGTGAAGATTGCGTTAATAAATGCAGACTATCTTATCAAATCGAAGATACCAGCTAAATAACTGGATAACTCTATAAAAATGTTTTATTTATTTGAAAGGGTGGAAAAGGAGATTCATTTTTCCATCCTAAACAGCCTGAGTTGGACCAGACTGAGGCAGGAACCAGGAATTCAATCCAGACTAAATACTCGAGCCCTGCTGCTTACCAGGATGTGTGTTAAGCTGGAATCAGGACTGGAGCCAGGAGTTTAACCAGGCACCTGAACATGGGATGTGGGCATCCAAAATGGTATCTTAGCTATGCACCAGAAGCCCACCCTGTTTTAATTACTAATAGTTACTATCTTCTTTGATTTTTCAAAGAATGTTAAGAAAGAGAGTAGTATAATTCAGAGTAGCCCATATCAACAGCATCAGAAATCTTCCACTGCCCTTTTGTAGCTGGGAACTGTACCTGAAAAATGTGGCACGTCCTGGAGTGAATCCACTGTTTTCTTAGATAAGCACCCCCATTCCTCATGGTTTCATATTTTTATTTCCCTCAGGGAGATTATAAGGTAGAGGAAATATCCTATCATTTACTGTTCTCCCCTCCTATTATGTAGAGCAGATAATGAGCATGTGGTAAAGGGTTCTATAAATAACAGCAGCACACGGTAAATCAACTGAGCTTAGGAACAGGGCTAAAAGTGACAGTGTCTACCCGGGACTCTCTTCTCAATATCTGCACAGACCTTGAACATTCTTTATGTATTACAGACCCCAAACTATGTCTGTAATAAAGTACAGACAAGTAAAACAAAATAGGCTGAAAGTGAGGAGCACAGAAATTTAGTCTCAGCTCTGTCACTGACCAGTTACATGGCCTTGAGGAAATTACACCATTTTTGAACAGGTAAAATAAAAGATTAGTTAGTCTCTAAAGTCTTTCTTGGTTCTAGTCTAACATTCCAGATTAAAAAAAAAAATCAAGGTTTAGTTGTTAGTGAAAATGAAGAGGTAAAATATATAAAGAACTAAAACTATCTAAATCAAAGTATGTACAGTGTGATATATATTCTCAAGGCTAGCACTGTGTATATATCTGTATCCTCAGATAGATTTAAATCTTCAGAGTCACTTTAATTATAAAGTAATCCAGCTGAAGCAAGAACAAAGTTTGTCACTGGCAAAATAATTTCTTGCTTGTGATCTCTATAAATCACTTCTGCATACAAATTTTACCAATGTGTGTCAACTTCAGCATAGTAACTGCATGAAGTGGCTACAACATAAACATTATAAGGAAGGAGGTGGTGTTGTGGTGCAAGTTAAGCTGCCACTTACAATTCCTACATCTGATGTGGGGTGTCTGTTGGAATCCTGGTCACTCCCCTTCCAATTCAGATTCCTGCTAATGCAAGCTGGGAGGCCACAGACTGACCAGTTGCTTGGACCCTGCCACCCACATGAAAGATTAGACAGAGTTCTGAGATCCTGGCATTAAGTAGGGGACTGAACAAGTGGATGAAAGATATCTCTCTTTCCTTGTTATTCTTTCAAATAGATGAAAATAAACAAAAATAAACATTAAAAAATGTATTACACAGAAGGAAAAAGGAGGGCCACAGCTGTGTAACTCAAGCATTAATGTTTTTGCATATTTTAATGATCTTTCTTTATTAACACTCAAGTTTAGCAGTTCCTAGTTACTCAAACCTAATGTCAATACTCGGAATTTTAATTTTTTGCCTGAAATATAAGTGAACGACAGTGCAACTGTTTTAGGATGGTGGGGATGGGGGTGATACTGACCTGTTAATTGGTGGAGTTACACTTTTGTCCTCAAGTATAAATTTCTTAGGGTTTTCTTCAGTTAAAATTTGGGAAACTTGACAACTATAGTTAAAATGCCATCAGCGTGGTAGAATAGTGTCCAGTGCTGCAAAATAAAAAATATATTGATAAATTTGGTAAGTCCTGTTAATATCAGCTGTCATTATGGTAGATAAAGCCTAGTAGCTGTAGGCAGATACCAAAAAGGAAGAAAACGCCAGTTCTTGAAGCTAAATAATATATTTTAAAATGTACCAGGAATCTGACTTACCTTTTACAATTACAATTCAGACAGGTGGAGCCTTTCAACTTTTTTTAACTTTAAAATGTCCACTGTCAACTGTTAGTCATTCAGACTAACTTCTGAATGTCACTAGAAGAGAATGACCATTCTTCTCTCCCTGAACCAATAAATTTGCTTGACTCACCATGTATTTGCACCAACTCAGAAATATCAAAATCACAACTGAAATGTCCAAACTGCCAGGTTTACATATGGGGAATTTTAATCTCCTCACCTCCTGCCAATCCCACAAACAAACGAATCAACAGGTCTCCATCTCAACGCTAACACAGGTTATACAGCGACTAACAGCTTCAGCCTCTACTTCCCCTTCTGTTTTCAAACAGTAAATGCTGAGTTATTAGCAATTTTTTATATGTTTCATATATATTTATGTGTATGAAGTCCAGTCAGTGTTTAAAAAAATGGGCTTTCAATTTATTTTGATAAAATGTAATTTTTGTCTTGCCTTTTAAGAAACCAAATCTGAAAATCTACTTGATTTGTTGAAACCTAACAAATCAAATAAGGACAGTGTCAAAGGAAGAAGTAAGGCAGCAATACTTGTTGTTTTTAGTCAAAGAAGAATCAGTTATTAAACTAATTAAGACTCTCTCAATTTAGGAGAGAAGTGTGGGTGTTTTACGCTGTCAACAATATGGAGTTTTAACATCATGGTGGCAAACCACTGAGTGAGCTATCCCAGCCGTTTCTGCTCAATAGTTGGGGAGAACGAGACAGCTCAGGATTTTCAGAAAAAGACAGTTCTAATCCTACATTTATTAACCAGAAAGATGACTGCCAGATTTTTGGCATGCCACTTTAGTCTACAGACTCATTCCCCTCATTTTCTAAATGAACTGTTGCTTGTATTGTCAACAAGTGTTAAGTGACTTTGAAAGACAAGCTCATTTCAACCAGATGTTCAGCGCATTGCTTCCTCCAAGACTCAACCTTCCTTCGGGCTTAGAAATAGGTCTGTCTAAGGAATGCCGCAGCCTATGAATTTGAAATAAAAACCTCTTGTGGACAAACTGGATACATTATCATACCCATGATAGAGCCAGCTATAGCTATATTATGCTTTACAGTTTTCTCAGGAAAAAATTCATACAAATATATACAATTAAAACAGCTTAAGCTCTCTAAATCTCCATACCCAGAAGAAATAAACCCATGAGGGGTTTAAGCATGAAGCTTCTGTTTTCACAAACTGATTTTAACTCAGCTTGTCCTGCACACCATTTGGTCTATCCACAGGCTGTTTCCCACCAAGTCAGCGTCAATGTGTCTCCTCTAGATGAACTCTGAGGTACCACAGTCCAGGAGTCACGGCCGTCCAAAGGGGCACCCTCCCTCCCTGCTGCTTCCTGAGCTGCCTGGGAGGCGGTAGTGTGGTTCAGCTCCGCCCACTGTTCTCACCCGGCCCCTCTCTGGATGACCAAGCTCCACTCTGCAACTCGGAGTTACTTCTTCAGTAGAGCAGGCATTGTGGCCCTTTCACCACACAGAGGCTGACGCAGAAAAGAATCACCGCCAACAGCTTCCACAGCTGTGTGAGACGGAGGGCAGGGCAGAGCGGAGTGTGAGATGTTTGGCAGGGCGGAGTGTGAGATGTTTGTCTAGTATCTGGGTGTGAACATATCTTTCTGTGGGACTGAAGGTTCTTTTTCTTCTCAAGCGATAAGGGACACAGATGGAAAACATTTTTAGATGAATTTTAGGTTGTTCTTGATAAATATCTTTAAAAAAGAAAAGAAAGGAAAAGACAAGGAAAAATCTATACCTATATGTTTAAAAAAAATCAGCTCTTGTATTTTTAAATGTCAGTTATTTTACTTAGGAGAAGTAACCCCTGCAAAGTTGGATAAAAATGACTTCTTTATCATATACTCAGATACCAAATTTAAGCAACTTAGACTACAACTGACTTATAAGCCATCAGTAAGTTTTTTGTGTTAATGATCAGACATAATAAAGATATAAAGCACCTTATTCCAGTTATATTCTTTCATGTACATATAAAGAAATAAGAATGTAAGAGGCTAGTTAAGCCTTAACACTCAAAGAGCTAGGGGTGGGTGTTTGGCCTAGAGATGAAGACACCTGTGTCGCTTATCAGAACTCCCAGGGTTTGATGCCTGCTTCTGGCTCCTGGCTCCAGCTGCCTGCCAACATGGGTAACTTAGCTGGGACTGAGTTGTGGTTCCCAGTTTCGTGCTGACCCTGCCGTGGCCATGGCTGGCAGTGGAGAATGACCTGGTGGCTGAGCGCTCTCCCCTCTCTCTTCTTACTCCTCAAACAAAATGAAAACAAGCAAATACACGATGGTTCTTAAGTTATAAAAAGGGTGTTTTCACAGCTTCCCACAGGGTGTTATACTTCCTTTAAAACCTAGTACACATGAAATAACAATGAATGAAATCTGTCACATTTATAAAGACTAAATCCAACTACAGACAAAAATGCACTGCTATTTTTAAAAACCTATCTAAGGCAACCTCTTAGGCGAGGGGTTGGAAGTGTTGACACGTTACCTTGATATCGCAAAAGCTGTAAGGTTCCCCAGCATCTGGTGTATCTGGTTTTCAAAAGGGTTATTTAGGCATTTGGGGTAAGAGAGTGACAACATTCCAAAAGAACCCTCACCTCTCTCGGCATTTTAAGGTCAGTTTAGGAAAGAAAAAAACATCTGCATGCTCTAAGAAAATCATTTCCTAACCCAGAAAGTAGATCTTTCATGCATTTGTTAAAGAAGGTCACTTTTGTTGTCATTATTTACAGAAATTCTAAAATCAAGGCAAAAAAAAATCTCGTTTTATTCAGTTTACTTTTTATATTAAGCAGTATTAAGTCTGATCATCAACATCTGAAGGGAAGCTTCTCTCATACTGAACTACCTGGATCCCCAAACCACATGTTAGCAGGCTGAGCTGTGCTCCCTTAAAAGCCACATGCTCAAGCCCTCACTCCCACTTCCTCAGAAGGTGACTGTATTTGGATACAAGGGCTTTAAAGGGATCATTAAGTTAAATGAGGTCTTTCGAGTAGGCTAGAATCCAGTATGACTGGTATCTTAGGCAAGAAGGGGCAACTTTGGATATAGACAGATAAGAGGGAGGTAAGATGTGAAAACACAGGGAGAAGACAGCCTGTCCAACCCAAGAACAAACCGACCTTGCTGATCCATGGGTCTTGGACTCCCATCCTCAAATTATGGAGACTAAATTGCACTTAATTAAAGCCACCTGGGGTCAGTGGTGCTCTATTTTGGCAGCCCCAGCAAACTAATCCAACACACTAATTATTTTCTAGTTTTAAAGACCATTACATCAAATCATCTTTTCCTCCCCAGCAGAGCACCATGATGTAAGGGGTTGTGAAAAAAGATCACAGAAAATGTGTGATATGAAACTACATATGGGCTTTAAAAAGTTTTGCACCCACACACATCTTTTAGTCTTCATTGTGCCCTGGTATATTATTTCTCAGACTGTCTTGCTTTATCAGCCTTTTTTCTAACCATGCTACAGACGGCAACCTTTACAACAGAATGGCTTTAGAACACTTTTAGAGGGCCTCTGAAAGGAAAGTACTTTGAGTTATCCTGAAATATCACATGAGCAATGAACTTAACAAAGAATCGACAATCGTGCTATGGGACCAACACTGTCAGCAGAGACGTGTGTAGTTCTCAAAAGGCCAGCTCTGTGATTAAGCTAATATTCTTTATAAATAAAAGCCAGCACTTCAGCATTGTAGTAGTACTCCATTCAAACACACAATGTTTGTAGCAGATTCTAGAATACCATGTTTTCTGAATTTATGCTTACTACAGAAATTAGTTAATGACAATATTGTACAATATCATAATTTCATGATTCCACAGCATCATTTTTAAAGAAATCAAGTGAATGAGAAAAGACATATATTGAGCTGATATTAATGGCGTGTGCCAGAGCGTGCTCTTTAAGTCGTTGACGTGTGTGAACTCAACTGATCCTTGTGACACCTTCAGGTGACAGCTACATCCACCAAGCAGTTCATCATCACCCCTCACCCCCCATTTAACACATGGCGAAGCAGAGGCAGAGACAAAATCACTGGCTCAAAGCTCACCCAGCTAGTAGGCAGCAGATGAGATTTGAACACAGGGAACTTGACTACAGAGGCTTTCTTGGCAACCACTTCTACTTGGTGACCACAGCTCATATCAGATCTTTAATCAGCCTTAGGAATCTGGTGGTGATTCACAAATAGGGAATGGACCTCTCAAACAATCTTCTGCATCCGTCTCCTATAGATGAGTACTGAGGCCAGAGCTGTTACAGGAATATGTTCAATAGACGTAGGTTAGCATGCAGGTCTGCTTAGGTCTTGTGTAAGCTACTTTCTGGGCTACTGCGACAGATATCAAAGTTTTGCTCTGTCATTTTGCTCATGCATCTCTTACTTTGTATGTATGTGCTTACAAGTTGCCAACAAGATTTATAATATTTATGGAAGAAAACCAGGAAGAAAACCAGTCTTGTGATCATAAACAAATAACCAGACATGTCTACCCTTCAACCAAGGACATCAGCACAAAGCTATTAAAACAGGTCTGTCTAGCTGGGTATCTGCTTACACCCTTTCAAGTATTCTTCTGTGAGCAAAGACCACACCAGAACTACACCAGCTAAACTGCTGCAGTGTGTATCAGTGAAGACGAATAATAGTTTTAAGTATTAATAAAAACTTTTTTTGTAAAAAGATACATCTTTTAAGATTAGACTATTATTAGAAACTGGAAC